CATCATCATAACTAGAGCACCACTAGAAACAGTAACATTACAACATCCTTGATGGACATACGAAACAGAAATTGAATTTACAACTCCATAGAGAAGTGCACCAATTCCAAACAATGCCAATGAAAGGAGTAATAGCAATGTACCTCCACCATACATAAAGAGATTTGTCTTACTAGCAATGGAATTACTTGTGGTATTTGTATCACTGTTCGAATTGTAATAGTAATTTACTGATTCACTTTGTTCAGTATTTTGTTGTGGTGTTTGTTGATGTGGATTCATCTTTTATCAATTACAGCTTTTGGGTAACCCGAAATATGTACAACAGATTTTGCTGCAGTTTGGTTGTGATGGTTTTTTTTTTAAAACGCTAAAGCCCGCTCATTTTATTTCGTCATTCCTGATGGTGGATTGACGCTTTTTTTGACGTCATCGCTGACGATTTTGCATAAAGTTACTCCAAAGTTAATTATCGATATTCTGTTGTGTTCTACTTGATGTTGTAATGTGTTGTTTATTTGTTGTTGTTTGTTTTGTGTTGTTTTGATGATGAAAATCAGTGAAGGAGGAGGTGACGTATTTCAGACTTGTGAATATTTTTGAAAATTTTAAAAAAAAAATACAAATTTCACAAGCTTGACTTGTTCATCAAGCTTAACATCATGTCTAGAAATTATTCTTTGATCAAACTATTGATTGCCTTCCGAACACTTTCTTTATCCCATCCCCTTGCTTCAAAGAACTTTCTACATACTGTTCTTTGATCAGTTGTGAGTTCTCCTATAGGTTTCTTGAAGTGATGATGTGCTAACAATTCCAAGCACTGTTTTTGAGTCACATTACCAATAAGCATTTTGATAATGTCTGGAGGAATTGAATAAGTTATACCATTTACGGTAGTGTTGAATGCAAGCCCTGAAAATAGATGAGCAAACCTTTTTGTGAGGTCAGTTAATACCTTTTCACATTGGATAATGGCATTGATGAACTCTGGAAAAGCTTTGTCCTTATCTATCAAATCAAAGATGTAATCGACATGCTCTGGAACAATCACATATTCCCGTTTTCCATTAACGTGACGAACTTGAAAATAGACAGATTCTGTGGAGTCACTAGTACCATTTTCTGAATCTTCAGTGGTGGATTCATCACTATCTGAATCATGAACTGACATGGTCTTCTTCACTGTCTTCACTAGTTGTTTACTGGAAGATGGTTTAAATTGTTTTTTCTTGCTTGGTTCAGAATCATTATCTGTATCAGTACTTGATTCATCTTCATCAGATTGATTCTTCCTCTTTGGAGCAGCTGTTTTAGATTTGTTTTTTCTAGTTGACATCTTATTGGTTGGTTCTGAGTTATTATCTGAAATTTCATTACAAGACGGTTTCTTTGCTTTTGACTTTCTTTTAGATGGGGTAATGTTAACAGAAATTCTATTACTAGGTAGCATGGTTGAAAAGTTTGGCTCTGTCTCCTCATAGGCTTCTATTACGCTCGTCATGTCCTTCGATACTGAGATTGGAGTTTTTTTGGAATACTTTTTCTCATAGTGGATGTGATTGTGGTGTTCGATTGAAACTTGGAATGGATCTTCGTTCACTACTTTACCAATTGCTGGAATGATATAGTAATTGACATCTGTATCATCCATTTCTAATATGTTTACGAAATCATTTAATTTTGGTTCTTGGACTGAATCAACTTCTAATCTATGATTCTTTGTTGCAAGATCCTTTGTTGCCAACAGATTCAGAGTGAAATCTTTGATATCTATTTTAAATTCTTGGTAAAATGTATCAGTTTTCAAAAATTGGACCAAATTAGCTAAGGATTCACTTTGAAAATTAACTAACTTTCTATCTCTCTCTCTTGAAATACACCAATAATTAATTATTTGAACAAATTCTTTAACAAGAGAAGACTTTTCTGCCTCTTCCTTTGCGAAATAGGTTTGATAGGCACTATAGGCACTTCCTTTCAAATTTGTGAGAATGGATGAATTTTCATCAGTACTAGAAGAAGTTTTGGTATTACTTTTTTGAACTTTCCATTTGATAGAAATAGCTCGCTCTTTAGCTTTCTTGGTTTTCTTTGGAGCCATTTTTTTAAAGTTTACCTTGATCAAGATCCATCATGTTTCTTAAACAAAAAGAAATGCCCAACAAGAACTCAATATACTTAGCCAATATTCGATATAACCAAGATTCCACCAACTTTTCAAACAGTAATGACAAAATGAGTGATGACATTGAAGAAAGATTAGAAATTAGTGATGAGGATGATGAGTCAAGTTATACAACAGATGACATAGATCCAATTCAAGATATTAGAGAAGAAGACACACTAACAAGCGAATCTGAATGGTCTTCTACTCAAGTTGATTTTAATCTTCACCATTGGAATAATCTCTCTCTTCCTATAAAGCGTATAATGAACGAGATTTTGAAATTTACAACCTCAGCTCAATTATCAGAAAGTAATCTTGAAAGTATGCTCCAGTTAATTGGAAAATGTGCTAATTTGGTTAAAGAGGCACCCCAAGAAGATTTCTCGCAGATGCTAACATTGAATGGATTTTATGGACATTATAACTTGAATTGCAAGACCAAAAAGATACACTATTGCAGAGAATGTAAAGATTTTCAACATGATAATCAACACACTCATTGTTCTTGTGAAAAGATTTGGCAAAAAGATGATTATTTATTTTGGCGCCCTTTAGAATATGCTTTCCAAGAAAGAATAGCTTTTGAACCAAACTTTATTAATGAAACACTCAATTACCAAGGTCATAATGATAGCTCAACAATTTCTGATCGTCAAGGAGGTGAAATATTTAGAAAAATTCACCAACCTTGGATTGATGAAACCATTTCAACAAAAAGACTCACTGGTACTCTCAATGGTGATGGAGTTTCACCATTTAAAAAGAGCTTGAATAATTTCTATAATTTCATTGTACAGTTTAATGAAATGAGTCCTTCTGATCGAAAGAAATCTACCAATAATTTTCTATGGGCCATTTTACCAAGGAAACCTGATAAGATAGATATTGAAATTGGACTCAAAGTAATAATGAATGATCTGAATTGTCTAAATTCAAATCAAAAAAACCTTAATTTGGAAATGATAATTGAACGAGTAATTGCTGACCTTCCTGCAAGATCAGAGATTTTATTCTTTAAACGCCAAGGATTTTATTTTTGTCACTTGTGTAACACTAAGGGTGAAGATACATCTGGTTCTCACAAAGTTTATCCATTGGAGTTTCGAACAAGATTAGTAGTATTGAATGGAAAATCAGAACTCATTGAGGTTTTTGAAAAATTCAAATACAGAGAATATCACAATGAGATTTCTCTCATTAACAATTTTCCAAACTCAAATCTACCACCCGGAATGGATAGTGTTTCTCCAATCCTATTACAACCATTCAATCCTAATCCAACATGTCTCTGTTCATATGATAACATGCATTACAATTATGAAGGTATTTTGGTGAAATTTCTCAATTTAATTGATGAACGATATTGGAAAGAATTTGATGTCATTTATTTAAAACAGAAGTTTCCCTCCTTTTTTCACAAGCACCCAAGATCCATTGCAAAAAATATCAATCACCTGAAATCCATTGAAGTTTACATTTTGTGTCATTATTATCTCGAATTATTTGAGGAAATTCCGAGCTATAGTGAAATTCAAGAAATAGTTCAACACATTATTCAATATGTGAGAATTATTGATAAGCTAATGGACTCATTTCAATTAGAAGATCTTCCATTATTGCAGAAACAGCTAAACTCAGTTCTGTACTTTTTTCAAAAGAAGGATGCTAATTTTTGCTCTCCAAATTTTCACATAGCAGCTGAAATGGTAATGAACTGCCGTCTATATGGTCCATTGTGGTGCAATAACGCATTTATTTTTGAGGCAATGAATAACATTCTCTCAAAACCCTTCAAATGTGCCAATTCTTTAAGATATTCAATTCTATTCTTTGATATGGTAAATTTGGTACAATTATTGAACTTGAAACCTCCCAATCGTAAACTAGAATGTGTCTGTGGTAATTATATAATCAATAGCAAAAGAGATTACTTGTTACACACTCCCTCTAAAGAAATTTATCAAGTCAATTCATTTTCTCCAAATTATTCACAAATTGAGATTCGACATGCTGTTAATGGCACAACAATCACCGTCTCACAAGACACTATCAAACAAGATTTCATACCAGCAATATGCCAGCAAATTAATGGCTCTTTTCACTTCAAACCAATTCACAAAATGGCCTTTACATTATATTAAATGTCTTTCCATATTTGGCTTCATCTCTAAAATAAACACTTTCTATTTTTGCAACCAGTTTAAAATATTTTTCAAAAAAAATACCTCAACATACTAGTAAGTCGTATCAGTTATCAATTATATTACATCATTTCAATTCATTTACAAGACATATCAATTCAAATTTTTATTTCACGTTTTTATAAGAAACTCTTGTCAATTTCCTTGTCATCTTTGATGGTGTGAAATCTTTTACAATATTAATTCACACGGTGTGAATCTTTCACAGCATTGAGTTTCACTCAGTGTGAAATGGTTCAAGATGAAAGATTTCCAACTTGTAAGAATTATGAATAGTTCAATAAAATTTCAATTTATCAAAAATTAATAATCATTCTGCAACGTCATTGGAGACACTTTTTGAGACGTCATTGAGGACGCTTTTTTTGACGTCTTAATGACTCTCAAATTGACACCGTCAAAATGACGAAAAAAAACGTCATTTTGACGTCCACAACACCGTCCCAATGACACCTTAACAAGCATAAACAAAGGCGTCATTCATGACTATAAAATCGTCAAAACATGCGTCAACAAAAATGAGCGGGTAGTGGGCAAACAAAATGAAAATATTTATCACTCGCTCGCTTACTTCTTTGAATTCTAATATTTTATGATCTTAAACTAATTACCATTCAGATTGACTAAAATGGCGCCAAAAATAACTACGATAAAAATAATTTAAAAAAATGAAAAAGCACTTTGCTTCGCCTCTTCATCACGAATACAATTTTCATGTTGAGGAATCGCTCGGAGAGGATGAAACAACCATTAGATTGGCTCGGGAGGGTGGCGATGAGCTGTCGTTTTATTTGGAGGAAAATATTTTGGGAGTGCTGATTCCTGCTTTTCAATCCTTATTAAAGGAGTATTCAACAGTTGATCCGAAATCGGAAGAGGAACAAGAATATGAAAAATTAAAGAGTACTATCTACTCAAAGATCGATCCGATTAATTGGATTGCCATGTATCTTATTAGAAATAATCCAAAACATTCGAAAAATTTGGAAAATAATCCATACAGTAAATTATTAAA